GTCCGCCGCGCTGCTCGGCAACGTGTACCGGGCGTGGCGTAGCGTAGCGCCGGCGCCCGCCCGTGCGTGCGAGAGAGACAGGTAGTCACTGTGCGAGAGAGAAGCACCGGTACGCGTTGCCGAGCAGCGCTGCGGACGGCGCACTGGGTAACTAATAATGGATCCAAAACTGGGACCTCCCCAGGTACCCCAGTGTCCCCACCGTATCTCTTTACACCGTGCCCAGGAGCCTGACGAACCTCGGCGACCCATCGGCGCACCGAGCGCGACCCTCCGCGAACCGATAGCGTACCGAAAGCATACCAAAAGCAAACAAATCTTTTTGCGTCGGGTGGCCATGTTCTCAGTTTTTCGTGCGTACTTGGTTAAGTACGCAGGAAATACTGAATACTTGCGTAGGTACACAGATCACAAGAGATACCTGGGTCGACACCACAGTATTGGTGCGGGAAGTAATTAATTTTTATGAAATGTTGATGGTTATACTAAACACGATTCAAAGTAAAGTAATTGTAATAGAAACCTATACAAGGTTTTAGTAATATGGCATAGATAGATTCCCTTGTTGCAGTTTCCAACAGCTTATGATTCTTGCTTTCAACTTATTCCCTATTATGTCTCTCAATAAGTTGCGGCTGGAGGCCGAACAGTTCAGCGAATCAAGAGAATAGAATCATTATTAAATTTGTATGAAAGAAAATGCCTACCCTCTCTAACTGTTTTTATTAATTTCTCCTGTTGTGTGATTTTGCAACTGAATCAACTCACCATATCTCCCCTAACCTCTCCATTGCAAGGGCCACCTGCAGTCTTGATTTATGCACCAAAGTTAAACCATGCTGTAGTAGACAGATGTTCTGGGTGTGTTGACTGAAAGGCACCATTTCTTTGGATGATAAGGGATAGCTAAACCACAGTTTCTTAACAAGATGATTGGTTGTTAGTCAGTTAAGAAAGTGAAATGACTCAACGGATTCGAAAAACAGAAACATTGTCTTCTGCTCTACTCGAGCTTGAGAAAAATAAAAACAGCAGCAGGCCGATATGAGAAATTTATCAACGCTAGAGTGGAGTGCGAATAATGACACCTATACTTTTACGACTCGAAGCGAAAATAGCACCATTCAATAATATATTTTATTCCCCGCATTAATAAAGTGGCAGCGAAAATATCACCTTTCAATAATGTATTTTATTCCTGCGTTCAAGTACACACTTGGGTTTCCAGAGAAAATTTTGTTTATGTCATTTGCGTCAAGTTTGAGAAGCGATTTCCGAAAGACACCTAAATAGGAACATGGGCTTTTACATGCAAAAGTAACATTGTCCCGATTTAAGGCACTTTAATACACTTTAAAAAGCGATCTTTAAGCAGCTCCGGCGGCTTAATTATACAAGATAGGAAAATTTTGACGGTAGGGTGAGGTCAAATTTTTTCATGAACTTTTCATTCCCCCCACCAGGTGTTTACTCCTCATAGATTTTGAATGCTGTCACGATTTGGGGCACTTTGTTCTAGAATACGGACTTATAGCGGGCCTCACAAGTACACCTTATGTGATGAAAAATCTTTCAAGGTGGTGGTAGGTGAGGCTTGATCCGAAGATTTTATAATCCGCACCGTTTATCAAAACTACAGATTTTACAGGACGTTTTTTCTTAAAGTCGTCCCGATTTAGGGACAATGATTGTAATTTATTAAAATTCTTGTCGTAGCCGCCTGATATGTCGTTAACTCACATGGAACTCCATCCAAATATACATATCGCAGCCCTGGGGGAAGATTGTACATCATCGGCGGCTGGTACGGCGTGAACACAGAGCTCGCCGGCTGGGTTAAAAGACGTTGCCGGTGGAATGTAGCCTCACTTAGGAGACTACACGCGCCCAGCAGGCAAACTAGAAGAACACCTCTCATGGTTCCTAGAAACAAAAGGGAAACGTTTTTTGCCATATTAAAGTTCATGATAGGAGCCAGAACATGACCAAAATGCCTCCGTGGAGTCCTACGTTTGAACATGCCCGTGTATACACTTCTGAATGTGTACATGCCCCTATACACTTCTTTTAAATTGTACATGAAATGTGCGTATATTACAACCGTGTGTGCAGTCATGAGTGTGTGCATAGGCATGTCAACTTTACTATAAAGTGTTACATTGGCATTTAAAGACTAAGCTAGGACGCCCCACAGAAAAGCAAAACTGGTTAGTGCTAAGAACATGTTTGTAGGATCAGATGGCATTGGGGAACATCTCCATTCAGCAGTTTGACTGTACAGACTTACAAGAGAACGTTTTCCGGTGACACTTTCAGATTTCAATGACGCTTAATTAAAGTCATGTACACCCATTAAGAGGGTTTGGTATTGGATGTCCTGAGGGGGTTGTAAGGTCGTTTTACGCGAATTGAACTACGTAGATGTACGCCAGACCACGTCTCGCGTATCAAGCTTCGCGTTATCTCACGTAACACTGTTACGCTGCGACACACCTGGCATCTTACTAGGCGAGCGGCCGTGTAGGGCAAAAGGCAGAGTCGCAAAGAAGCCTTCGGCCTCAAAAGACAAAAATTTTGGTCCACAGTGTTTCATTTCGACAAGTTACCCCAAAGGAGACCAGCACATATCTGAGGAAAAATATAGATTGGTTTTAGGGTCATTTGAGTGTAGGAAACTACCTCTGGCGACCAAACGGTTAGGGACAGAGCCAAACAGACGAAACTTTGGCCACCTGGGCTCTACATAGACGAGTTACCCCTAGGCAATCATTTCAAAATATTTAACAACAATAAGCAATATTTTGCGAGTGGTTTTTAAAAAAAACGTTCTCAGCCACTTTTTGAGCTAGAGAGCTCAAAGTCAATACAGTTCTTGTTGATTATGTTATGATACAAAGTTACGATAAAAATTTCAAGTACCTAGCTCAAACCGTTCTTGAGTTATCGTGAGTACACGCAGACAGACGCAAAACTCTTTGATAATGGGCTTCTCTATCGCTCAGCAAAGAAATCTCTAAATTTATTGCTTTATTACCATCTTCGGGTGGACATATCTAAAAAAATCGCTTGTTCTACAGCGCTTAGATTTGGAAGGAAATTATCCTCCGGTGGGTACTTTCCATGTTAGATATTTGAACGAAATGAATGGGGGTGACCACAATGGGTCCAGGCCAGGATCGTACCTCCTCTCAGAGAACCCCTTTTCTGATTTCGTTCAAATTTTTCTTCAAACCCCCTACCGACAAGCTACATCCAGTGCCAAACCCTGTAAAGGGGTGCGAACGACTAAAGTTTAAAGCGCTATAGGGTATTCCGCTCCAAGCCAACCGGAGCCTAAAGAATGAAAGCATGACTGCCCGATCTGTTTCCTCCGAAGCGCTGATTACTCGACCATGACCATAGTATGTCGGTCAGCCAATGAGCCCAGAGGGAAGCAGATCGAGCAGTCATGCTTTAATTTTTGGCTGAGCGATTAGCGAAGCCTATTACTCCGTCTGGTCGAAAAAAACTTTGTCTGTCTGTCTGTCTG